CTCTCGCGACGGATATGCCTGACAGTCAACTCGGTGCTAAACGCACCTCGTCGGCTATCGGCTCATATACGACTCGATTTCGCAGAACAACTGTTAAACACACTATTGGCGACACTTGCTAACCTGCGGTGGTATCACCCCCCCTTCCAGCATGACAGACGGCAACAGGCTTTCCTCGCAATTCAGGGCGACTTCTCAAAGCGACGGAAACAAAAAATGAATCCATATCAATATGCATTATAACGCGCTTTTTGAAAGTACTCTTCTGCGGCGATTTTTTAGGCGTCTTTAATTTGGTTGTTTGGATCAAATTGTTGATAAAATCACGAAATTCTGCTCCCCATGTTGAAAGATAATGCAACCGCGAATGAGTGTAATACTCATTAACAAAATTTGCATCTCCAGCTCTGGGAACAGACTTGGATTTTTTGGTCCTTAATCTCCGTTCTGGAAGCGTTGGATGACCCGAGTTTGGTCTGTCATTTTCATTGGCTAAACCAGAAATCTTTTTTGGTTTGGTTAAATTTGCTTTGCTTTCCTTTGTAAGCTCTTTCACCGATTTACCAGGCAGTAAGAAATTTTCATTTTCACTGCTTGATTTGAGCAGAGCGTTCACAGGATTTTCATCCGTGGTTTTAAAGACTGTATCGTTCTTTAATGATGCAGACGAGTCAACCTTCGTGAATTCCGTTTCATTACCCACCATTTCATTTTGGTCCGGGAATTCAATTCCATTATTCACTCCCGGTAAACTAGGAGTTGCGTCATTCTTTGTCAACTCAGAGATTTCAAAACTTCCATCTTTTAATAATTCTGATTTATCCACACAATTCTCTGAATTTGACATTTCATTAGATGTGCTTGTACCAGATTGATGATTGACAGGAAGTAGAGTATCTGAATGCACAGAGGAATCTTCAAAGTTTTCAGGAAGAGTAAGCGAATCTTCGTCTAAATCTGGGTTCGTAGCGAATTCCGTATCATGCTCACTCTTACGCGAGCTTTCATTACAACTTGCTTTTACGATTGCATTTGAAGGTCTAATAACATTCTTCAAGCTTTTATTTTCCCCATATTTTCGTCCGGCTCCGTAGAGAAGATATTTATGATACGGCAATAGTTTTCCGGCCTTAATACTTTCTAATATCCAATCGGGATGAACAACTTTTTCGCCCCTAAATTTAAATGCCAAAATAATGAGTAAATTATGATAATATGTGAGAATAGCGAGGTTCAAATAACACTTCCACTACCAGCACTTGTGGTGTGGCGGTTACCACGCTTGCCTATCAAGCTGGGAGATCCGATCGAGTTCAATCCTTGGTATGACCCCTACTCAAGGTCTTAAAAGGTCTTAAAATAATTGAGGAGAAAGTATCTCATTATTATCGCAACTTTCCCTTTTCGCCTTCGCGCAGGTTTTTATAGCCTGAATACGGATATAAAACCTTCAGTACATCATGCAACCTATAGAATTAACTCAGAGATCTCAAGGATAGCGCAAAGTGGCTACGACAAATGATATAAGTCAGCAAGACACATTGTGACAAGATTGGGTATAGATCTTCTGATATAATGATAGGTCCGGGGTGGGCAAAAAAATGAAAATTTTTTGATAGGTGTAGGGTGGGCGAAAAAATGAAAATTTTTTACAGGTCCGGGGTGGGTAAAAAAATGAAAATTTTTGACAGGTCTGGGGTGGGCAAAAAAATGAAAGTATTGTGTATTGTTGACAAATCGTTAATAAAAAACATTCAATACATTTGACCCTTGAAACGTTCTGACTTATCGTTAGTTTTCTCCCTTTCAGCCGTATGTCACTGAATTTGTCTTTCTCTTCATTTTCATAGTATTTTGAGACCAAAATATTTTATTTTGAGGTTAATTATTTTGATACAGCGTACGGGCGACAGGAGGAATGTAGCGTACTTTAATAGCGTACTTATATAAACTTTACTTGGAGGCGCTGAATGTTTTATTCGTAAACTACTGCAGTTTAGTACCGACTACTGGCAGTACTGCAGTGTTTCATGTTTTTTGTACGTGTCGGTTGGCGGGTTGGGCAATAAATTTATCAGCTGCATCATAATGAGATAAGCATATAGCCTATGTCATATCATATTAGAGTAAAACATATTAACATGCATTAATTGCCATTGGGACCGGATGTATCACTGTATTTGTTTTAATACAGCAAATCAAAACTCCACAAGGAGTATAGTCGAAACAAGCAAACATCTTTATCTTCGAATTTGTGCTAACATACTGTAGCCATACTAAATATCTCGCTAGTTGGGCAATATGAAAACATGCACAAATTTGTGGTGTTGGAAAAACACGAGCCATCCCCCCCCCCCTGGAGAAAGAGTCAAAGACATACACGCAACCCCCCTCCCCCCTGATTGTTTACACCATACTTGTCTCGATTGAATTTTTTCCCTAACCAACCCTAACCACAATAGTTGCAAAGTGAATTCTTCACTTTGCACTAAAAATAAAACAAATTTAAAATTGGACTTACTTTAGTTCCTTTATTTTACTGTCAGGTAAGTTAGTTGCAATGATGTGAGTACACTTTGATCTTGAATAGTAATGTTGAAAACCACCGCCATGTGTCTTCATAAGACGTTTAAGTTCATCAGAACTGGGCACTGAAATGCACACCACATATTAAAAATCATATGACAAGATCATATAACTTGAAAAATATATATGTATATGAATGTGAAATGTTTCTTAAGGTAGCTCGATATCATAGTTAAAAATCACAGACATGATTTACTCTATACTTCCTTCGTAATTTGCATATCACGTTGAAATATAGCCTGTGTACAGACTGTATTATGCTGTAATACAGTTATTACAGTCCGTGAAAATTCGTGACATTGCTTGTCAACCTCCAGCTGCGCTACACATACAGTATCTGGGTAGTTGATTATGATTGGTCATAGTTAAACTCAGTAGATTCTCATTGGCTGAGTTCACTAAAGGTCAACAAAGTTCTGAATTTTGGAAATCTCAGCAATTGCCATTATTTTCAACTGCTTGAAGCATAGTTTGAAACATAGAGAAAAGTAAAATTTACAATGAACATCACTAGTGTGAAGAAAATATTACTTCGATTTTGAAAATCAAAGTCCAACGTTCGTTGATATTTCAGTCCAGCCAATCAGAATCAATTAACCAGATCTGGGTAGCGGAGCTGGGGGTCAACAAGCAATGGCACGAATTTTAACAGACTGTGTATTACAACATAATAGAGTCTGCACACCGGCAAGTTGCAATATGGCTTCAACTGTAGTGAATTAAATATAACGTGACGTTGTTAATCGCAAAATCTACAGGTAAGAATAAAGTAGGTCGTTTGCAACTTGCCTCAATCGCTGGCTACAACAAACGTCTGATTAAGTGTAATGTTGACATGATTTCAGTTACTGGATCATTTTTCATTTTCAATATTTGTACAGATCGAGGTTACTATTTACGAGATTTGTCTGTTTAACTATATATTAAGTAAGAATACCACACTACTGACCACTAGAAAAAAACGACCATGCAGAATAATTATACGGAATTTTTGGAACATCTCACTCGATTCAACAAAATGAACAAATGCTGAAGAATTTTCATACCTACAAGACTTACCTTCACCTCACTGCTACTGCCTACACTCCTCACTTACCTAGCTCACACACGACCTAATATATTCTACCACTTTTCTCTTCTGTATTTCTAGTATTCCACTCACCTTCCATTTTTCTATTCTATATTTTTCTTCCTATTACAGTGTATACTATATCTCATCTAGTGGTGAGCCTAAAACAAATAGCTGTGGCTCCGGTTCCCGACCTACCCTACTTTTTTCTGCCGACCCTATTATTTTTTCAACGCGATTGACCGTGCAACCCTATTTTCTCCGGGTGGTTGCAGGCGTGCAACAGCATGTCAAAATGGCGTCTGTTGTCACACTAATTATTGAACCAAATTGCCTAAATTCTTCCATAGGAAATACGCATCTCTAGGTAATATTGATGTCGGGACTCTACTGCAAATCACCCAGTAAAAAAGACCCGCCAAAACCATAAACAAATATTAAAAAAAAAATTTATTTCCGACCTACATGTACCGACCCTAACTTTCTCACGATATGAAACCGGAACCGGCACAGGTGTTTTTTAGGCTGTGTGCACCATGCATGGGACCTAAAGTAGTCTAGTATGTGTTTCGCCACGTTTTGCACATTCTATAAATTACTGACTGATTCTCCATATTCTTGTTCGATGCATGTGATTATGTTATTGTATATAAGTCATAGTAGAATATTGTCAAGTTATCTAGTACTGTACGTGCCAAACTAAAGCTAGCTGAAACAAATAAATATACAATAAAATAAGTACATTTATTAATGTATATAGTGTAAATTAATCAACTTAAGTCATTATCAGATGACTGCATCAGACTTGTTGGAACAACCTAATTGCAACAAGCCTGATAATATCAATTCAAAGAGCTTAATTGTTACAAGCAGTTAACAACCTGTAACAAGCTTGATGCCATTGTCAGACTTAATGTTACCAGCCTGGTCAGACTTGTTACCAGCCTTGTGACACAAGGTTGTTCTAACAAGCATGATACAGTCGTGATATAACAAGAATGCTACACACAAAAATCTCACATCTTGTAGCAGTTAACAACTTGTCAACCAGTTGTGTTCGCACTGCTTTAATTGTGACAAGTTGTCAACAAGTATGGAACAAGCCGATAACAACTTGTAACAACCTTGTTGATGTTATCAGACTTGTTGCAAGGTTGTTGTAACAAGTCCAATACAGTCATGATATAACAATATTGTTACAAGTTCCTTGTGTCATGAACCTTGTAACCTTAATTATTAAAACACCCTGGCTTATTAAAAGGCTTATTAAAACAACCTGGCTCATAACAGTCTGATAATGCCACCAAGCTTGTTACAAGTTGTTAACAACAGCTTGTTCCAAACTTGTTGAACAACTGGAAACAAGCATGAGTGTGAACACAACATGTTGACAACTTGTGAACAGATTTGTAACTGCAACTTATTTACAGGCCAGTAATAACTTGTGCGTTTTTACACACAAGGTTGACTGGTTGACAACACAAGGTAATTGTAACAATATTGTCATATCATGGCTGTATCAGACTTGTTGGAACAATCATGTAACAAGTCTACAGTATAATTATCAGTGTGGATTATAACGGTCGGCAATCGGCCATTTGCTGAACAAAAACAACAAATGGCCGATCAACTTTATTCTGGTCGGACATTTTGACCGATCAAATACATACAAAGATTCCATTACTAAAATTCGATTACGAAGACCCAATCAAAGTGCTCGGAGGCCGTACGCTTCCCGAAGACCCAGAACGGATGAAGAAGAATCGGAAAGAGAACTATCTTTTTCACTAAGTGACTGGGATACTTGGTTTGGCAACAGTGATGAGTCAGACGAATGAATTAAAACGATATTCTTAAAAGTAGAACCTGTTGTGTTTATGAACTTTAAATTCTTAAAAGTAGAACCTGTTGTGTTTATGAACAGTACTTTACACAAAGACGTTTATATTCCAGCCGTTATGTTCTAGCTATCTCCTATATAAAGAGTTAAGATTGGCCATTTTACTTATGCATACACTTAGGCCTCTTTTACTGTACACAAGCAAATTTTCTTTGCTAAGGTTAGCTGTCAAGCTGTGACAAGTTTTATTTGCCTGTGTGTATGGAGAAATGTTGCAAGTACGTTTTTCTTTGACAAGTTTATTTGTTGCCATATTTCTCCATCACATGCACACCGGCAAATAAAACGTGTTAAAGTAAAACTTGGCAAAGAAAATTTGCTCGTATAGACGATCTAGGCTTTAAAGGCTATATACCGTCACCGATAGGCGAGGAACTCTGCTCCTGATTTAAATTTTCTACCATGTTTTGTAGCGAAATGTTCTAATATAACAAATTAACAGTTTTATTAAGATTTAAAACTCGCGCCGGCACCGCGTCCTCGAATCGAGTGTGGTGTGTCCGTGTGTGGCAGCGTACATTTGTTCTAACGTTGTAGGTTTCTATATAGGACATTTCCATGTAAATAGAGATGTATGACGTTTGTGATTTCATGTTTTGTATTAACTTTCATCGATATAAATGTTTCTAAAGTTATCTCATGCAGTATCGTGTAAAAAAATAGTTGGCCGACCATTCTTAGCAAATGTCCGACCAACTGACCAGTTGATCGGACATTTGTCCGACCAAAGCGAAATCGTTATAATCCACACTGATAATTATATGAACAAGCTTGGTACAACTTAACAACTAATTGTAACAAACTTGATGGCATTATCAGACTTGGTACAAGGTTATTCTAACACGTCTGATACAGTGATCATGATAGAACAAGAATGTTACAAAGTTGACAACACAAGGGTGTACAATATATTGTTATATAAAGCCACTATCTGACTTATTGGAACAACCTTGCAACAAGTCTGCATAATAATCATTAGTGAATAATAATATCACCAACCTTGTTCACAAGCTGTTAACATTAATTAATTAGCTTAATTGTAACTTGTAAGCTTGCATGATGGCATTATAGGACCAAAAGCTACAATTTATTATCATATTAGTCTTGTAATATATTGTGGCAACTCAAAGAACTCACCGGTATATCCATTAACGAATATCACAATATTCTTGAAAAGATCACTTAGAACCCTAAAAAAACAAAGATGTCAAGAAATATTAAAGCTTGTTTTTATCTAGAATAATTTCTATGGTGAGACAAATAATTTTTACTATTTCGAGACGTGCAGCTAATAAGCTGGGACTAGACCAAATGCTCTTGATTACTACTGAATTCTTATTATTTTATTCTATCTAATGCCAGATGATTTTACTTGTCAACGATATAGAGCCTTACATATTAATAAGTTAACCAAACTATTTGCCAATGTGCCTTGTTAATTTTTTAACCGCAATGCACCCAAATGCACCCAACTTTATTATTATAATTATTATGCTCTCTAATGCCTAAACAATTTTACTCGTTAAGAGGAAAGACTTGCAAATTAATGGCCAATATTATTTCACAAACTTTGATTACACTCACTTGCATTCATCATTGCTATTTTCCATAACTTCAAACTGTTCGTCCAACTTGCGGATTTTTGCTTGCATATATCCTCCCTACATGATACAATTACAGGTATTAACATCACTACACGTAGAAGGATTTTGTAATTGGACATGTAGCGTGTGAATTTTATACATCATTAGACCTATAACCAGGAGCAGAATTGCAAAAAATGCAAATATAGGCACTCTGGCAGGAATCAAACATGTGCCCCTTGCAATTCTAACAGAGCTACAGAGGCCAGTTGTTCAGCTCTAACAGCATTAATGTGTGTATCAGCGGCTTGCCCCTGGGGTCGTGACCCCCGGGAACCCTGAGGGATTGGTCCTCGTACCCAGTCAAATCTTAGCAAATTCCTGTGGGTATGAGGCATAGGTATTACATCCAATACCCCCATCCCCGAGGGCTGTACCCTTCTTCGATCCAATATCAAGTTGCACAATATTAGTTGAAGGGTATTGTAGATGGAAATTATCGAGTGGAAACTTATATACATATATTAGACTTTAAATATATAAACCAGGAACAGAAGCAAAAAAAAGCAACTATAGGTTCCTATTATTAGGTTTTGCAGTTGGAAATTTTGAGTGTGAATTTTGTACATATATTTATTAGACCTAGCAAGGAGCAGTTCCACAGCTACAGGCTCTCTGGCGAGTGTATGACTACAAAGTTTGTACTCGAAATTGCCATCTACAAAAACTCTTGAACTAAATTATAGTATAACTATTTATTTATTTATTAAATAAAAACTCTACTTAATTTAAATTATAAACTCACCCAATCGTTGAAATCATTCAGTTCTCGTTTCTTGCCTTTCAAGCACATTAAGTTTAACTCAGACATGGTGGTAGTATTTGAACCTGTTCAGAAATATCATATCATGCCATAAAAATAAACAAACTATTCATATTCACGAGGTTTCAAGCTCATTTTCTTATCAATTTCTTGAATTCTTGTTTATATTCTTGACCAACATGAGCTCCAAGGCGGATTTACTATATGCATAAAATGTCAAAAGCCAGCGAATTTACTAATATCATCAATTCGCGGCACCCACCGTGTGATCACTCAGTTTCCTGGGACGAGTAATAAGCACATGCTAAATTTCAAGATGGCGGAAAAACAGAACGATGCCGGTAAGCTTATGAATATTGAAATATGCTAATATGATTTGCCTTGTATTTGACGGCCGATTGTAAACTAAACTTTCGGTGTTTTCTAGAAGATATTACACGATCTTTTTCGTCTTTTATTTCAAATACTGAGGATATTGGTTAAATTAACTTACAAACTACATGTCTACATGTTTCGTTATTTTCGTATAAGGTTTTATATTGAATATCATGCATTTTGTATTGTATGGTATAGTGTGTTTTGTATTTTTCTGTAGTTTAATAGGTCCAAGGTAGGAGCTTTGTGATATGGTTGATGTAGATCCGGCATTACCTTACACAAATGTGCTTTATTAATAGAGTTTTACCGTATTAAAAATGACTTGTGTAATTTGTTTAAAACTTCAATTCCTTATTCCTTTATTAGCAAGAGTGTGTTTTCTATAATTTGTTTTATTACTTGAAGAGTTTCTTGTGTTGTAATTATGAATTTCTCTATTAGAGTTACTCAATGTTAGGCAAACTTTTTTATTTGTCCCCTGTAGTGTTGGGGTAAAATCTAGTGGTTATTTACCAATGTGTATTTCTGAGGGCAATCAACAGTTATCAAATCCTGCTTAAATTACACTTATTTCATGTTTTACGACAATTTTGGCAATGTGTCAATGATACCCTTACGAAAATTTCCTATAGGAATTCCTATAGGAATTCCTATAGGAAAAATTCCTATAGGAAAAATTCCTATAGGAATTTTGTCCCAAATTCTTATAGGAATTTTTCCTATAGGAATTTTTGCTATAGGAATTCCTATAGGAAAAATTCCTATAGGAAAAATTCCTATAGGGATTTTGTCCCAAATTCTTATAGGAATTTTTCCTATAGGAATTTTTCCTATAGGAAAAATTCCTATAGGAATTTTTTCTACAGGAATTCCTATAAGAATTTAATAGGAAGAATTCCTATAAGAATTCTCAAGTCTAGTCCCAAATTATTATAGGAATTTCCTATAAGAAAATAATTTATTCTAATTTCCTATAAGATTTTTGGTATTCCTGCAGAAATTCTAGAATCTAGATGAAATAATAGTAAATGACAGACAATGTTGTTCATCACTCTTAATTTTTTTAATGCAAAAAATAGATATAAATATTAATAAATACTAATTAATATTGCAAATATAAAAATTAATATGAGAAATTGGTTATACTAAACATTACAAATCAATTATAGTTTTCACCTATTGTGCCAAATTAATCGTTCTACCTCAATGCAATGCCATTTGATGCGTCCTACTTTATTATTTTACTCTGTCTAACTATTTTACTTTGTCTAATGCCAGACTATTTTACTCTGTCTAACTCCAGACAATTGTACTTGAATGTCAAGGGGAAGTGCTGGCTCCGAATGGGTTAACTAGCCTATATTCCTATATATGTGTTTAGTTAACCCATTGAATCACATTGCGCCCTGATGCGCCCTACTTTATTATTTTACTATAGTTTACTCTGTCTAACGCCAGACGATTTTACTCGTCAGAGCGCTGGCACTTAATGGGCTAAACCATAGGTAATAACCATAATTGACATTTAAAGTTAAGTTTAAAACTGGCCTCAAAACATAGTCCTCAAATAAGTTCTTGTTCTTGTTTGCTTTTCTGTACTTTGCAACACTTTCCCATGTTGTGTATATTTGTCCTCATATGTTGACGAACCTCTGAGGCCTTACATCCATACTTTGTTGATAGCTGTAAAAAGACAAATACATTTTTTTTATGTATACCATTCCAATGTGTTTTGTTAACCCATTAAATATGCCCAAATGCACCCAATTTATTATTTTACTCTAAGTGGAGAGTCTAGCACTTTAATAGAATAAACACAGTAAAATAACAAAGTACTAAAAGTAGGGCACATTGCTTCTAAATATGCCACACAGCAGCTTTTTCAGTTAATTATTAACCTTTCAATGACCAACATTCATTTTGATGAGTAAAATCATGTGATAAATATCAAAGTACTGAAAGTGGGGATTGAGTGTTGGGGTGAATTGCATCTAAGGGGCCGATTACATGGAGCATTTTCAACTCCGGGGTTGAACTCAGCCTTGTTAACCGGGTTGAAATTTTTTGCGATTACATGGACGATTTCAACCCCGGGGTTGAAACGTTATACTATACGTTCTCGACATCGATTCGCGGAAGAAAAAAAGCCTTTATTTTGTTTTCTTGTAATAAACAGTCACTACCACGTATGCTCGAATAAGTCATGATAATTTCAGCCCTGGGTTGAAACGATTACATGACAAAATTTTCAACCCAGGGCTGAGTTCAACCCCGGGGTTGAAAATGCTCCATGTAATCGGCCCCTAAATGTGCTAACGCCAAATTATGCAAAATAGTCTGGTATTAACAGGGCAAAATATTGAGCTTTGAAATAGAGCACATTACTGTGAATTTGTGAATTGGGTCTTAATGAGTTTACACAAAACACAGGGAGACAGCAAGGTAACCTATCAAAGTTGTCCACTCTCTTTCAAGTAAAATGATCTGGTGTTAGACAAGGTAAAATAAAAAAAGTACTGAAAGTTGAGCACATTCATCTTAACATTAAGTTAGCATGAAATGTAAGCTAGCAGAGAGTCTGGTTAATTTGAATACCATCACATAGTTATGTTTAATTAATAGAAAAACATTGGATAATTTTCCTGGCATTACACTAAAGCATGTCCAAAGGCTAACAGATTTTAATACATTGACTGGTGCAAGATCTCTCAAAATGAAAATTGTTTAATTTAAACAAAACATATGAATAAATACTGCTGCTGATTTGAGCAAGTAGTTAAATTTTCTATAGGCATGCATTAAATATGGCTGACAATTTACAATTAATCTGGCATATACAGTTGGCACTTGGGATATACAAATATATTAATAAACATGGATAAGTCTGATTCAAAGATAAAACTTTTATAGTAGATTTGTTGAAGTATAAATGCTATAAATATATTTATATCGGCATTCTAATTCCGTTTATATTGTCGCGGCAAATTCAAATTTTATCGAACCACATGCTCGAATTTCACAAATGAAGATTGGAGGTATTTCCTCTATAATTTGCTTTATTATAAATAAAATATAAACTTATTCTTACCTGAACATTATGCAAACATCCCTGATGTATTACTAGTGAAAATCCAGTTGAATCCCATCAAAAATAGTTCTATTTTGCACATAAACCATTGACAAACACTGACTTGAAAAAATATCGGAGCCTCGGAGGTGTGATGATCTATCCCTTGATGCTTTGCGCGCGTGGCAAGAAAACTAGACACCAGTCTGTCAGTCGCGCACATTGCGGTAATTATTCATTTAATCTTAGAAAATAAATAGTCCCAGTATTAAATTCTCTATTAATAAATGTCTATGAGTAAAATCCGATATAGGAATAGTGTAGTTGTATAAGAAATTAAAATTCCTATAAGAATTCTTATAGGATATGATAATGGTGAAAAAATTCCTTAAGAAATAAAAATTCCTGTAGGAAGGAGTTATTTCGTAAATTATATTTATCTGGGGCCGGTTGTATCAAGCCCGTTTAGCTTAAACGGTGTATAAGTCAAAATTAAATAACACTCTTATATTTTTCGTGAATCAGTCAACTTAAATATTCTGCACTGAATATATAGTTGTAAACATTATCGTTCTATTAAGGTTCAAAACTTTTAGTTTCGTTGTTTAATGAATCTATAGACTTGCTTTCTATTTTGAGCTTAACCACCGTTTAAGCTAAACGGGCTTGATACAACCGGCCCCTGTATATTTTTTTATATAAGTAAAGTTCTTATACCCATGCATGTATCAGGCCATAGTGGTATAGGCTATGAATTTTTCCCACCATTTTCCAATTCTATAAGAATTCCTATAGGAATTTTTATTTCCTATAGGATTTTTTTTTCACCATTTTCAAATCCTATAGGAATTTTCATTTCCTATAGGAATTCCTATAGCCATTTTC